CCTTAGTATGTGAGGTGGATTGTTAAGTCTTGCTGATTGGACGCTATATTCGTTCTTAAGCTATTCTGATAACTCGCACGCTAGGACTATACAGCGACCTGAACACCAGAAAGGCGCAAAGTATGAGAGAGACACTTTACTCCAAAGTTCGTTTTTGTACAGAAGACATGGGTATTTATAGATGTTAACGTTTGTTAAATCAACGTCATATTTCTGCCACTACATAGTGCTGGCACCTTAGAAGAGCGCCCAAAAGTGAGGTCGTAGTGTTTAGTCTATTTAACAGCACAAGGCAGTAAAACAATCTAAAAACTCCCAAGTTGCCTATCAAGGCGCGTAATCTCTACATCATGATTGTATCGTAAATGTTTCTTCTCGATCTTCTTAGGAAGGCTATTAGAAAGATGACCGTTGACAAAGTTGCATGATCGTATCACAGATCTAACTTCTCTAATACCAATATTAATATAATTGAATTCCTCATCAAGTATGTATCTTAGCAGTCCTTCTAAATACCCTCTGGGCCTTTGATTTAGTGTAAGGAACTCTGTGTTGTGAACAGCGTATCTTACCAACCAGCGAAAGTGTTTTTGTTGAATATAAATCCAATATTTTCTACTAATTCTTCAACCATGTAAATATCACGTTCGGTAATTATATGACGACGGACCACCGGTGAACTCGAGGAAGCTGTAAGAGGCTCAGAAGGAGCCGAAGACGTTCCATCCAATCACCTGTCGGAAGAATGTTCTAGAATTCCAACGTGCAGCTTCCCCATTGGATAATGCTAATAACCCCCTGTACGCGGATTGGAAGACTGTAATGATGATTTCGTTCTCACTAAAAACTATAAATACCTGATAATTTTGTACTATGTTTGACACTGTTTGGAATAATATTCCTTTCGTTAGTCTTCTGTCTTCTTATTGCGACTTGGAAGGGTTTGGTGTTCTAGTGCTCAGTTATACGCGGTTGTATCAAGAAAAATCAGCTTTTTCAAGTTATAACAATCATTATATTTCAAACACACTTTGTTTATATACCAATCAAGCATACCACATCGTACCGTAAAATAGAAAACAACATTTTGTACAATATTTAACAAGTGAACAAATATCGACCAATAGGAAATGTACATTTGAGGTCCAAGGACACCATTGGACTTAACATGATAATTATTGGTCTCTTTTTCCGACTATCCTAACAGATTCATAACCAAGAGGCTGTGACTTGTGTTCTTGACTCAACTGGTTAGGACAGACAGCGAAGCAGGGCCAATCAGGGCACTAGGTCGTTCTTACGTGTCACTGTCACAGATCGCGATCGATAAATAAACGCTGCGTATCAAAACCTGCAGTCACGCACACGTTACAACAAATTACATTGGTTTCTTCGTCATATATGTGTGTAATTCCAACAGGTGGTGTGTTAGCAAGTTCATTAAAATTCTGAATCAGAATCTCAATCTCAATTAAAGGTTGTGTATGCTGTTGGAGCTTTTAAAAATGGATCATGTAACAGCGATTTCATGCCTTTAATTCTCAGTGTATTAAACAGTAAGCTATATCCTCTTCCTTTAATTAACAACTGAATTGACAAACTAATATTAACCTAAACTACATCCGTGCAGTCGCCTAACGAAGTATATATTTTTAAAAATGAATATTGTTCGTGAACTGTTATTGGAATTACGGGCAAGTGAACCTTTTCCACGCTATACGCATATCAACATGGTTTACTAAACTTTAGTGTACATCGGATGATTTGCATAATAAAGGCTAGGTCTATTCAGGAATTAATATTCCTTGAGGTTCCTTTACTCAGCAATTTTGGCTGCCTGTCGTAATAGAAAGATTATAATACTAGATTAGGTAATACGAATAATAACATTAGATTTAGTGAATATAATAAGATGATTAAAATATTTTTGTTACGATACTTAAATTCATAGAGGTGTGAAAATAAATAAGGTGATATGATGAGTGTTTATGAATAAAATAATGAGGATATAAGACATAAGTAAAGGTCAATGCAGTAATAATAACGATAAAATAATAATAAGGTCAAGGTAACGATAAGACGTGCTTCTTTTGTACGCATAGTTCTGAATGGAGCTCATGGATGGTAAGAGCTTCGTCTATTTTTAGGAGTTGGATAGGGAGAAATCTAGGTAGATTTGAACGAATCATATAAACAACCTTAAAATAAAACTGTGGATCCGTAGAATGATTAGTCGATTAGGTGTTCAAGTATAGAACTCCAAACTGCTTTCCTTTCACACTTGTAGAACCAAACTGGGATATATTCTCATATCCGAGTTGAAAGCGAGCGCCGGCTACGGTCAATGTACCTTGCTCCACAAAAGCAGGTGAATTGGTAGATGCACATGGAGGCGACCAGGCGCGGAAGCTTATCTTTTATGGATACAGAAAATAAGTTCCTCCAAGTGAAGGTTATTCGCAGTTTTGCAGCATTGAATGTTCTTTTAATCGCTGTCGTTAGGCGATTTTTGATTACGTCAGATGTTCAATTCCCTTTAAATTTCAGACTTATAAATAGGTTTTTCTTTGGGACGGAAAACTAGATTTCCTGCCGCAACTACTTCTATTCATATTCTTCTCTATGGAACGGTCTGGGGAGCGAGTTCTTCGTCAATGTATTCCATAGTGCATATCCGATGTACTCGGTGACATCACGAGTGGATGAGATTTCTATTTCTACTCAAAGGGACTCAGCTATAGAAGTTGGTTAGCTGGCCATTCCATGTTTGTTTTCTAAAGATGGATCTTTTCAAGGAACCATTCCTCCCTCTCAACAGACGCACATCGAGAATAGAGATTGATTGGTCTCGCCTACTCTTTAACGTGAAGTCTATGGAAGGGTGGCATGAGTTGAAGGTGCGTAAGGTATCCTCTAATTCAGTATTATCATTACAAACGACAAATGTGTCGTCCATGTATCTTACGTATAGGTGAAATCGATTAGTCATTGAACTGAGTTGGTTGTTTTCTAGTTTTGCCATGAAACGGTGCTAAAATTGAACCCAATGGAGACCCCATTGCGATTCAATCTCTTTGTCTTTATATTTCATTGTTGAAACTGAACTGAACACTAAAGGTACAACGTAACAACAGTTCTTTCAAGTGTTTAGTCGGTAAACCTAGATCTATGTTGTTAGAATCAATATACTCGCATATATAGCATATCGTTTCGGTTAAAGGTACACTAGTGAACTAACACTTAACATCCAGCGACAACATGTGTTTTCCGGAAGTATTAATGTCATTAATACGATCACTTAATTGAAAAGTATCATGAATAAAATATTTAGATACTTGCTTTCTAACTGGTTTCAATTTTTCAGCTAAATACTGGGCGATTCGGTGGTGTGGTGAACTCGACATATCCAAAATAGGTCGTAACGGTAAGCCAGGTTCATGCACTTTCGGTAGTTCATATAAGCGCGGGATGGTTGAACCCATCTGGGGTTATTATCCCCTTATTCATAAAACTTTTAACATCTGTTAGCTGTTTTTCGATTTACAGTGTTTTGTACACTTCTCCTTTGGGTTTGGAAAATTTAATAACATCCTCTATGATTAACCTCATTTTACTCAAATATTCTTGAAGGTCAAGTAGTACTATACCAGCTCCTTTTTCAGGTTTACTTAGTATCAAATCCTTATTTCTTTTCATTAGCTGATCAAAATGGTTCTTAGTTAATAAGTTATTTTTACTACATTGAATATTAACGTATCCATGACTACAGTCCAGTAATGTGGATTTAAAATGCTGAAGATCTTGTGGGGATATCGGCACAAGATCATGAGACATGCGTAATTTTTATACAGGTAGATCAGACCGCATCACACCATGAAATGAGAAATCACAGTTATGCAAGATCGAGCCAAGGGTGGCTGTGAGCATGGGAGACTGTAAATGATGAATTGGGAACAACTTGAAGACAGTAAATCTTATAATAGTAGTCGTTTAGTCAAATAAAGTCTTGTAATATAAGGAATAAATATAAATAATAACAGTCCATAAATAATTACCGAAAGTTACTAATAATTTATTATTCGGACATAACACAATACATTCATCTCCTCATAACGAGCTGACCTTTATCCACTCCTACTACAATTGGTGAAGTAAACTCTTAGATATTAATCCCAAACAATAAATCAAATCTAAGTCATGCCCCATTTTCGAGGGTGTCAAAGCATTCCTATGTATATTAAACGAGTTTTTCATATCTTTCCAGATTTCTTTAGTTTGATGATCTTGTTTTTCATAGTTTTAAGTACATTTCCTGCAGTCGTGTGGGACCTTTCAAACCTCTACCTGTGCGTTCTTCTAGCTTCGTTATAGTTCTCATTAGGCAAAAGCGTTCTGCAACACTTAGTAGAGCTTGCCGATGCTCTTGTTCATTGTCCTGTAGTGACGTAGTTTTATCAAGAGAACGCGATTGGTTTAATGGAGATAATTATTATTATAACCGATTGCACCAGTGATTGTCTTACTGTACTTGTTTGTTTGACAGTACTAAAGACATTCATTCTTCCGTTGACTGTGACCTTGCACGTGCTCACGTATGCTCAGTGATTTTGCTTGTACTCTTTTGGCACGATCTCGGTATTCTTTCGATACCACGAGGTCGCCAACATATATATCTCGCTACAACCTGCAATCACCTTCTGATATCTGAAACGAAACCCTCTTGCAGTGGTGATCATAGTCAACCGCGACTCGATGCCACATTACAGTCCCGGCAAGCAAATCCGTTTCATTTCATTACTGAATATCTTTTGTTATAAGCCAGTCTGGGATTTCCACTAAATTATTTTAAAAAGCACTCGTAGAGCCTAAGGTGTACTGTTAAGGGTAATGTCCTTAATATCTGACTCCAAATAATAATATCCCGTAACTGAGTATTTAAGGTAGGCTTAATCTCCTAGTAGAATTACGGATTTACTCGAGATTATTGAGAAGCCTGAACACCAGTTATGGAGATAGTTTATTATTAATGAATAATGATAATCCACAAGCGTATTGTGAGCAAGCACACGATGGGAACAGAGAGAGTGTGAGTTTGTTAAAAATCCATATATATTTGAGGGTTAATCGGGTGTAGATAAATTATCGATTATCTGCACGTTGAAACCAATAGGAAAATAGTTTAAAAGTTAATGTACAGACATGCATTCGATCATACACTCCGAAATTAACATAGTGAATTAAGAGTCTAAGTTACAATGAATAGACAGATGATACAGTGGCCAAATGGGCTTGCCACATAAGCTCCCATCCAGAACATTGATGTTTTTATGTACCAAAAAAAAATTGGATTAACATCTATGTTCGACAAAGAGATAAAGAACGGAACTGTTTTTAAAATAAAAGTACAACTCAATATGATGAGTAAGAGTAAAATTGTAATAACAGCTTGTGTGTTGAAACGTTTCATATCATGTATATACAAGTGTATATTTAACATTAATGAATTGTATAAAGTTAAAATGTAAGCATAATGATGATCCGTGGGGCCAATAAAAAAAATAGTAATCAAAATAAAATAGGATTTTTATGTGTTATAAGAGTAGTCTCAGGATTTGGTCTAGATAAATATGGTGGTTGCTACATACCTATCTTGCCAATGTACTCTTCTTCCTGATCTTGTTGTAGTTTGTGCTGCTGCTGAATTTCGATTTGAAGTGTTGCTTGTTGCAGGTAGTTTGAATGGTGCTTGCTCTGCTGCAGGTTTAGACGGTTTTACAGTTGTCTGTTTTTTTTCAAAAATATTTCGTCTCATACCGAAAGGTACAAAAGGGCGAGTTTTACCTGTTGAGGTATCACAAGTTAAGGTGTCCTTGTTGTTTATGGGGATGTTTTGGAATAATAATTTCGTTTCCTTAGACTGCAAAAGCTTTTGTAGCTCCGTATCGACCTTTCGATGCTTTGCCATTTCTTGATAGTCTATATCAGGGATCGAGAAGGTATTGATATTTAATCTCGATAGTGCATCTGCTGCCTCATTTGCATTGCCTTTAATATAGCGTATATCAGCTGCAAATTGTGAAATGAATTCTAGTTGACGAATTTCGCGCGGACTATATTTATCATGATTGTGCATCAAGGACTTAGTTAGGGGTTTGTGATCAGTATATATCGTGAAAGAATTGCCTTCTAACATGTAGCGAAAGTGTTTGATGGCTAAGTAGATAGCCAACAGTTCTCTACCGAATGTGCTATATTTCGTTTGCGTTGCGTTTAGCTTTTTTGAGAAAAATGCAAGAGGTTGCCATTGTTCATTGACACGTTGCTGAAGTACAGCACCTACTGCTACGTTAGAAGCGTCGGTCATTATTGCTAAAGGTGCATCAACCTTTCGTCGTGCGAGTAATGCCTCTGTGCTTAAAGCGCTTTTCAACTGATCAAATGCTTGAATTGCTTGCGGTGTCATTGCTAATGATTTAGCTCGTCCCCTTAATAAATCAGTTAGTGGTTTTGCTAAGTCTGCACATTTAGGGATAAAACGTCTGTAAAAGTTGATCATCCCAAGGAAACGTCGTAGTTTCTTGAATGAATCAGGCAAAGGATAATTTTTGATAGCTTGTGTTTCCTCAGGAACTGGTTTAATGCCTTGCTTATCAAGTACGTGACCTAAAAAGGTGAGGGATTGTTTTCCGAACTCACATTTGTCAAGATTGACCGCTAACCCATACTCGTTTAGCTTCTCAAAAAGCATTTTCAGATGAGTTAGATGTTCATTTTCATCTTTGCTTGCTATAAGTAGGTCATCTATGTAAGCATACACAAACGGTAAGCCCCGTACCACTTGGTCAATAAAACGCTGGAAACTTTGTGCAGCATTCCTTAATCCGAAAGGCATGCGGACGAATTCGTATAGTCCAAAGGGGGTAGTAATGGCTGTTTTAGGAACATCGTCTGGATGAATTGGAATGTGATGGTAAGCACGGACGAGATCAATTTTTGAAAAGATCGACACGTCAGATAGGCTATGAGTGAAGTCATGCAGATGTGGGAGAGGATATCTATCTGGTATGGTCCGGCTGTTGAGAGCTCTATAGTCACCGCACGGTCTAACTTCGGAAGAGTTTTTCTTAGGTACCATATGAAGAGGTGATGCCCACGGACTATCGGAGGGGCGTATGATGCCCAACTCAATCATTTTGTTGAATTCGTTCTTTGCGATAGCCAGACGAGAGGGATCAAGGCGTCTTGGACGTGCGAACACAGGTGGACCCTCTGTCTTTATGTGGTGTACGACGGTATGCGTCGGTTTGTCGTGTTTGAAACTCGGTCGTAATAAATCTGGAAACTGATTAAGTAAATTGACGTATTTGTCGTTCTCATGATGAGGTTTAACTAATAAATGTATGGAAGTCTCATTTGATATAATTCCTCTAATTTCCTTACTCTGTTCGGCAAGGACAAGTTTCCTATTTCTGACATCTACCAGTATTTTGTGGAATTGCAGGAAATCAATGCCGATTATAGGAACGAGGACGTCCGCTATGATGAAACTCCAGGAAAAATTAGATTTAGGACCGAAATTTAATTGCAACCGCCTTTTGCCGTACGTCTTGATGTCAGACCTGTTTGCAGCTTGTAGTTTTAGTTTGGGGTCAGGTGTGTTTTTCTCGAGTGCAGTAGGTGGTACTACACTAACCTCTGCCCCAGTGTCGACTAAAAACTGTGTGCCGGTTCTTTTGTCTGTAACATATAATAGACGACTGTCTTGAGAGTTGTGGTCAGTGAGTGCAGTCGTCATTAACCTGCGGTCTTGACGTCCCTTTTTCTGTGTGCTTGCAAAGTTACAAGGCGGAGTACATTTTCTAGCTTGTTTGCCATATGTTCTATGGTACCAGCAAATGTTGTGTCTAGTAGTGCTTGGACTACGTCGTCTACGGCTTGTGGATGTTCCTCTACGCTTGCTGTGGGAGGCATTCAATAATTGGATCTGAGCTATCTGTTTCGTAAGGGTATCAACTGATCGTCGTAACTCGGCGATCTCGTCAGCTGAGCTTGATTGGATTTGAGATACAAGGTGAGTCTTGGACCGTTCGTAAATTCTGTCGGCTATGTCTGCTAGTCTATCAAAATCAACGTCTTCGTCTCCAATTGCTAGTATCTGTTGAATGTTTTGAGGGAGACGTCTGAGCCACAATTGATATAGTAGACGTTTGTCTACTGTACGATTTCCTAATAAGTTTGTCATGTGGCGTTTTAACTGTGACGGTGTATTGTCACCTAGCTCTACGTTGGCTAAAAGTTGATCAATTGTCTGTTGGTCGGTGAGAGATGTGACACGAATGACCTCTCTTTTTAGACAATCGAATGGTGAGTCAGGATCCGGCTTAAAAATGACATCCGGCACTTGTTCAATGACGTCATCTGGCAGCAGTGAATTTGCATAACTAAATTTCGTACTCTGGTTTGTGATTTTGTTTGCTACAAAAAAGCTTTCTAAACGAGCAAACCAGAGTTCAGCCTTTCGTGGATTAAAAATGGGTAAAGGTACAGAGATGGCACCCACGGAAATAGATTTAGATGAAAGGCTTAACGAATTATCAAGTGCCATGATACGAAAAAGCAATAGTAATAATAAGCTGAGGATTGTAATATACAATATGAAGAGAAATAAAAAATAACAACAAAAAATATATATATAAGACTCACCAAAAAGAAAAACTGTCACTTTTGGTTTAAATATGCGAATATACAGCAATAATTCCAAAGGAACAATGTTATGGATGGATTTATTATGACTGTTAATGAATTGTTAATAATTGTAATAGTAATTCCAATGTGAAGTTCTTTAAGATACGCTTGGAGAGTATGCAGCAGAATTCGTAGAGGAATGGTGTGTGTTCCAAAAGCGGTTCACCAATATGTTGAGGCGGCAGCTAACCAATATGTTATGGATAATGTCCTTAATATCTGACTCCAAATAATAATATCCCGTAACTGAGTATTTAAGGTAGGCTTAATCTCCTAGTAGAATTACGGATTTACTCGAGATTATTGAGAAGCCTGAACACCAGTTATGGAGATAGTTTATTATTAATGAATAATGATAATCCACAAGCGTATTGTGAGCAAGCACACGATGGGAACAGAGAGAGTGTGAGTTTGTTAAAAATCCATATATATTTGAGGGTTAATCGGGTGTAGATAAATTATCGATTATCTGCACGTTGAAACCAATAGGAAAATAGTTTAAAAGTTAATGTACAGACATGCATTCGATCATACACTCCGAAATTAACATAGTGAATTAAGAGTCTAAGTTACAATGAATAGACAGATGATACAGTGGCCAAATGGGCTTGCCACAGTACTTTGCCAAGCTTGATACTGAATTTTGATCTTCAAGTCACAATTCTCAAGCTAAACGTAGGATGCATCAACGTAAACATACGTCCTAGTCTGCTCGCAGATCTAGTCATCTTGAAAGTAACCAGGTAATGCTGCATACAAACCCAGATAGAGGTGAAAATTCGCAATTTAAATGCCGGAGTCCTAGATTAGGTTGCCAGTAAGATCGCATATATATCCAAAATTAACACTAAAATAATTGAATTTTATTTTCAGGCTCCTATTATATGAGTCTTGAAACTTCAAAAAAATCAAGAACGGTCATGAAACTAGATTTCGCAATTAAAAAATATATTATATATTACATTACTAAGTACATTATCTTACGTAACGCGGTTTAACTCTAGGTACAATGAATAAGAAACAAGATATGTAAATATGAAGAAAATGAACTTATTCTATCAGTCTTCCTACTTTGACGACAATATCATTTGTTCGTGTGTGAGCGAATTAATGGTGTAAGATATTCAGTTTCTGTTAGTATGTTTAATGATTATATTTAAAAAAATCATTAATACTTCCTCATTCGATACGACGAATTAAGTGAAAGTAGAGCATACATAAATTCTGGGAGAGAGTGAGATAGATAAGCCACTTCCATTCAGTGAACATAGTCTGCATAAACTAAAAGTATCTCACAACAAAAGTAATAAGACGTTAATTTGGTGTGCTTTACTTCAAGAACTTTATGCATTTTTCAAAAAATATTATCCACTTTCCAATCCCAATATTGGAAAGGATTCACTACATTATCTCATTAAACTGAACGTGAATATATTCACAAAAGAGGTTTCTTTCAGAGTTCTTATCAAAAATAAGTAAACACATTCACAGAAAATTCGTTATCACCCACAAAATCATCGTTAACAAACGCCCTGTGGCAACAAACAAGCCGAGTTATAACACCAAAATATAAGGAAGTCATCAGTGAAAATCATCATTTATCTCAGTCAGCATCCGTACTTCATCAGTTAGCCTATTATGCAGTGAAATACTAATAGATTGATTTCCTTCAAAGTTTATTACGAAAAAGGAGATTGAGACAACAACTCATTCATTTACCTGTCACGTACAATCTGCACAGAACAAAATAGGCATTTAATACGCTCAACACTGTCGTTCACGCTATATCATAACAAAGAAAAGCTTTACAAAGAATTCTAAACGACTGCGTAAAACATCAAAAGCTATTTTGCCGATTCTCATTATCTTGTCTCCATATTACAGACACCCCGTACAAAAATAATGTTATAAAACGAAGCAAACAAACAAAACGGAACTGAGTAGACTAAGAGCAGTGTGGTGGTGAAAACTACAAGGATGGCCAACCTGAGTATCATCTTTATTTAGTACATAGGCTGAAACAAAGCGGAATACATACACAACTGCTTTGGTATAACTCATCAATTACAGATTCCTGTACTCGACTTACAGAGACACACCTCACATGTGTGTAAGAGTCTGTGATACTACCGAACTGCACGAAATAAAACAAGTGGATCAGGACTCGGACTGCATTGGAACTACAACAGGGTGGACTGCGTACATACAGCATATAAACCTCTCTGAACCAAGCACACAACAATCAAGTCGTGTACTATCCCATTACTGTTGGCTGACCAAACAACCCAGATATAAGAACACGATTGAAACATTACAAAAACTGGGTACTCCAACACGGTTAATCACAGATGAAAGATTTACAAAGTTGTGGACTTCTGAAAATTAATCTTCTCCAAGTCGGATAAAAGCCACTCAATCCTTACTCTTGATGAACACGAATATACGACCACAACAATACCTCGACTCAATAATAGGATAACGAGACGTAATCTTAAAACAGTACCTTCTTCAATAACTAGAGGATCCATCGACAAGCCCCCCCCAATCACATCTAATGGTTGGTCGTTCCTCACCGCTGATAGAAAACGCTTTACTAGAATATTCCGACAAAGCTTTGGGTTTTTCGACTTCATCTCTTTCCAATACCATCTGATTTTATTGTGCCAAAAGTTACGGGATTGCATCTTTTCTCTGAGTTCGCTTCTTCATATGCGAGAATAAGCGTTTGGGATAGTGTCACATTCCCTAACCAATTGTTTTACATGTGGCCGTGTAGTGTTGCTTATCAACGCTTTACAAGCATTCCTAGTTTTACAATAACTGGATCTGTACTGTTCTAGACCAGTAGAGATGAACATATTCCAATGCTTTTTCCTGCACCTATGGAGTTTCTTGACCTGTTTAGTTATCCATGGTGGACAGGTATTCGGTCTACGTGGTACCAGTTACGGTATAAACGAAGACGTGACTGAACTATGCTTGCCTTTAAATATAGACCATACTTCTTCAACTGATGAGCTAGTATCTATTATCCATTCTGTTTTAGCAGCACACTCCTGAATGGCTGATATGTTAGCTCTCTACACATTTGAGCGAGGCTTAACCTGATCGTATATCATGTCACTAGCTTGAAACGTGAATGACAAAACAGAGTGATCGCTATTCACTAACAATGGAAGAATATTTAGGTTGGCAATATTCTCAGTCGCATGAGTGATTACCAAGTATAACAAAGAAGAACCTTGGTTTGCACCAAAACGAGTAGGTTTGGATACATGCTGTACTAATGCATGCTCCATTAGTTATCAGGAACCTGCTATCAATGGACTTCATAGATCCTACCATGACCGCCTCAATTAAACTAATATCAGATGCATCAAATTCTCCTAATTTCAAGCATCTGTTCCTTGAACTCCGTGGCTGAATGGGCTCTAAAATAAAGTCATCAGCTAAGCAGATTGGGCTGCGATATATGATACCGAGCAGAAATGTGCAGCATCCGATAATCAGCTCACAGCAAATGACCTCACAAGTCACACTATCATGGGATTCGCAAACAAAGGAGTGGATATTTATATTATTGTTTATATACAAAAGGACGCCATCTCCTTTCCTACATCTATGTCTATCACTCCTTAGGTAGTGGTATCCAGATAATTCTGGGGTAATATCTAAGTCATGGACTAACTACGTTTCTTTCACAGCTACAATGAGTGGCTTTAATTTGTCCACTAATGCTCCTAGTTCATAGAATTTATTTCTTAGACTGTGAGTATCGGTATATAAAACTCTCAGGGAGAACGGCCTATCCACACAGGCCTTGGTAGCACTTGCTTTCAGGACCTGACTATCCGAAAACCCACTAATCGGAGATCTTCCTCTCCATTTGTCGATAGGTTTCTAGTTCAGCTAGTGCTAACTTCCTTTTTATTCTATCTCTCTCATGCTCATAGCAATTATCATTTATTTAATAATAGCATAATAATATTTTAAAGTTGAATAATTGGTGAAAAAGTCAATATTAAGAAAAGAAACTTACTTCCGGGAGATCGCGCATGCCTAATTGATAGGCGAAGAATGTCCTTGTCAGTAGATTGCTAATCTGTTGAAATGATGTTTTTCGTTAAAAAAATATATAAAGACAAGTAAAGATGACAAACTTGTTGGAGACTAAAAGTGGTATGAACTTTTATGATGAGATTACTATGAGCAAAAAGTAGTTTGTATCATGAGTAAACGGATTAAGAAGAGGTGAAAATGAAAAGTCATCGAACAAACGTACAGAATAACCATTTGTCCCGGTACAGTAGTATGTCACTTCAAAACTACACATATGGAAATCCAGTCACCAAAGATAATTAAGACAAAACAAAAATGAGAACTAAGAGAAAACTATTATTACTTTGTATTGTAACTGAAAATGACATTGGATACATTATCTCTACATCAACAGGACGTCCTAGTCCACCTACAAAGAATCAATAGTTTCCAACTGATGCGTTACATTGTTCTAATCCATGTAACGCGTGTACCTTCAAAAATTTTTTAAAAACTGTATCACACTTCAAAAGCATTTAGAATCATTTATCTGCTCTTTACATGTAACATGGCTATCTATATCAACCTGATTATACCTGAAAATCGCTAAGCGTTTTACAATTATTTACATAATATACTATTATTTATTGATTTGAGAACTCCGCCTGGAGTCCCTCCGGGGGGCTACTGCCGGTCCCAAGCCCGGATAAACGAGGAGGGTTGGGCATGGGGTTAGCGTCCCCATCCCGTAGAAGACTAACTCGCTAAAAAAACGCTAACCAGAATAAATTATTCAAACCTTTTAAACTCTGCCCTGGGAGTCAGAAGATCTTCATTTAGAAGAATTATGACGCCTCATGATGAAAGCCGAATTCCTTCGGAAGTTACGAGGCCGATGCCCCTTCTGACAACCAGAGCGACCATTTATTTAGGTACATGGAATGTTCGTACAATGTGGGACACCGGAAGAGCCTTCCAGATTGCTGCAGAAATGAGAAGATACAACCTAGAGGTACTTGGGATCAGTGAAACACATTGGACACTAGTTGGACAACAACGACTAACTACAGGAGAGCTCCTGTTATACTCCTGCCATGAAGAAGAAAATGCACCACATACACAAGGAGTTGCATTGATGCTGTCCAAACAAGCACAAAATGCACTTATAGGATGGGAATCTCATGGACCAAGGATCATCAAAGCCTACTTCAAAACAAAGAAAGAGGGCATTTCAATGAACATCATCCAATGCTATGCGCCTACCAATGACTACAATGAAGACGCTAAAGATCAATTCTACGATAGGCTGCAATCAATCATCGAGAAGTGCTCAACAAAGGACCTCACCATCCTGATGGGAGATTTAAATGCCAAGGTTGGAATGGACAACACCGGATATGAAGGCATCATGAGACGACACGGACTGGGAGAAAGGGACGAAAATGGTGAGAGATTCGCAAATCTATGTGCCTTCAATAAGCTGGTCATAGGCGGCACCATATTCCCACATAAACGCATACACAAAACCACATGGGCTTCACCGGATCACTCTACACAAAACCAAATCGACCATATTTGCATCAACAAAACGTTCAGGAGGACTATAGAGGACATGAGAACCAAGAGAGGAGCTGATATAGCATCATATCATCACTTACTGGTCGCCAAGATGAAATTGAAACTCAAGAAGCACTGGACAACGGGGCAGACAGTATCACAAAAGTTCAATACGGCCTTTCTTCAGGATACTGACAAACTCAACAAATTCAAGATAGTCCTCAGCAACAAGTTCCAAGCCTTTCATGATCTACTCAATGAAAAAGGAACTACTATGGAGAGCAGCTGGAAGGGGATCAAAGAGGCAATCACTTCAACATGTCATGAGGTCCTGGGTCACAAGAAGCACCACCACAAGGAATGGATCACTGTTGGTACACTGGATAAGATTCAAGAAAGGAGGAACAAGAAGGCAGCGATCAATACCAGCCGAACAAGAGCAGAAAAAGCCAAGGCACAAGCTGAATACACGGAAATAAACAAACAAGTGAAGAGGAGCATCAGAACCGACAAACGTAAATATGTGGAAGATTTAGCAACGACGGCGGAAAAGGCTGCAGGTGAAGGAAACATGAGACAATTGTATGACACGACAAAGAAACTCTCTGGAAATCGACGCAAACCAGAACGACCAGTGAAAAGCAAGGAAGGCGAGGTAATCACTAACATTGAAGAGCAACAAAACAGGTGGGTAGAACACTTCAAAGAACTCTTGAATCGACCAGCTCCACTGAACCCACCCAACATCGAAACAGCACCCACGGACCTCCCAATCAATGTTGGCCCACCAACAATTGAAGAAATCAGCATGGCCATCAGACAAATCAAGAGTAACAAAGCAGCAGGACCGGACAACATCCCAGCAGAGGCATTAAAGGCAGACGTAGCGGAAACTGCAAGGATACTCCACATTCTCTTCAATAAGATTTGGGATGAGGAACAAGTACCAACAGACTGGAAAGAAGGACTTCTGATCAAAATACCGAAGAAAGGCGATCTCAGCAAGTGTGATAACTACAGGGGCATCACTCTTCTCTCAATACCAGGAAAAGTCTTTAACAGGTATTGTTAAACAGGATGAAGGGCTGCGTAGACGCCCAACTTCGTGACCAACAGGCAGGATTCCGTAAGGATAGATCGTGTACAGACCAAATCGCAACTCTACGGATCATTGTGGAACAATCAATTGAATGGAATTCATCACTCTACATCAACTTCATTGACTATGAAAAGGCATTTGACAGCGTGGACAGAACAACACTATGGAAACTTCTTCGACACTACGGCATGCCTCAGAAGATAGTCAATATCATACAGAACTCATATGATGGATTACACTGCGAAATCGTGCATGGAGGATAGTTGACAAAGTCATTCGAAGTAAAGACCGGTGTTGGGCAAGGTTGCCTACTCTCACCCTTTCTCTTTCTCCTGGTGATCGACTGGATCATGAAGACGTCAACGTCTGAAGGGAAGCGCGGGATACAATGGACATCTAAGATGCAGTTGGATGATCTAGACTTCGCAGACGATCTGGCCCTTCTATCCCAAACGCAACAACAGATGCAGGAGAAGACAAACAGTGTGGCAGCAGCCTCAGCAGCAATAGGTCTCAATATACACAAAGGGAAAAGCAGGATTCTCCGATACAACACAGAATGCACCAATCCAATCAAAATTGACGGAGAAGATTTGGAAGAGGTACAAACCTTTACATATTTGGGCAGCATCATTGATGAACAGGGTGGATCTGATGCAGATGTGAAGGCGCGGATCGGCAAAGCAAGAGCAGCATATTTACAACTGAGGAACATCTGGAACTCAAAACAACTGTCAACCAACACCAAGGTCAGGATTTTCAATACAAATGTCAAGACAGTTCTACTGTATGGGGCAGAAACCTGGAGAACTACGAAAGCCATCATCCAGAAAATACAGGTGTTTACTAACAATTGCCTACTCAAAATACTTCAGATCCATTGGCCGGACACTATTAGCAACAACGTACTGTGGGAGAGAACAAACCAGATCCCAGTGGAGGAAGAAATCAAGAAGAAGCGCTGGAAGTGGATAGGACACACATTGGGGAAAGCACCCAACTGCGTAACAAGACAAGCCCTCACTTGGAATCCTGAAGGTCAAAGGAAAAGAGGAAGACCAAAGAACACATTACGCCGGGAAATGGAGATAGACATGAGAAGAATGAACAAGAATTGGATGGAACTAGAAAAGAAGGCTCAGGACAAAGTGGGTTGGAGAATGCTGGTCAGCGGCCTATGCTCCATTGGGAGCAACAGGCGAAAGTAAGTAAGTAAGTAAGTATTGATTTGAGAGAACTAAACACCGATAATAATAATAATAATAATAATAATAATAATAATAATAGTAATAATAGTAATAATAGTAATAATAATAGCTAAACTGACTTGCAAAGCTAATGCAACTTGATACATATGTGATTTTGGACAAATATATCGCAATTCATCATGAATACTTATACATAAACGTGCAGGAATTTTAAATTTATTTATAAGCCAACGCATTAAAACAAGCATACAATGTAAATAATCAACAGCAGAACTTTGTACAACCCAATTTACACGACTTGGTAAAAACTAAAACACAAACAAAAGGAAGTATACAATTAAAATTCGAAAAGATAATTCGTATTAAATAATGATATGAATATGGTAATTCGTAATTTCTGAAGAGAAAAAAGTTTGTGGTGATCAGATCACTCGGGTCTCTTCTTAGAAATGGCAGATTCAAACAACGCATCTACTATCTACTACTTCAGATTGGGTATCTAGGTAGTATGATGAGGCTTCCGTATAAAGGTTAGACTCACACAAAACCTGAACTTGTTAACTGATTTCAATGCGCGCTAATTGTAGCCAATGATTGTTTGATGTCATTTATCATGTAAGCTAACCTTTGCAACTCATGTGAATTAATCATAATCATATTTCATTATTGTGTTTTTTCTAACTAAATTCAATTATTACTGTGCAGTAAGATCATGATACACATATATACATTACTTATTGTAATGATATATTAGCGAAGTCTGTGCGGCAAGTTTTATCTTGATTTAACAAAAAGGATAAAGATCATGTTTCTAAAGGTCAATTTTCGTCATTATTACGTCGCTTATGGAACACTGAAATATGAGAAGAGACGCTCACTATCGGGAATCGACAAAAAGTTTCATACTATTATTACTATAAGAATATTTTTGATAAAATATATGATAACAAGATATTTAACGAAAACTAAAAAAAATCTCCAAATACTACATCATCCTTAACAAGTTTCGGATTCAATGCACGAGTTAGTTGTGCATTTAAAAATGGTGTACGAGGCTCTGGACTACGAGCAATTGATTCCAATTGATTGAATACAGCTGACTCACTTCCACCTTGCCATTTAGACGTTGATAATGAAGTACCATCTCCGGAAGGCAAAGAAGAGTCCACAATAATTCGGCGTCCTTTAGTAATTTGAAAAAGTTGCTTTGCTTTTAAACTAGCTTGTTCTGGCTGAAATGGTTGGAAAGTGAAAACAGAGAGTAGCAATATAACAGCTATAGTCAACTTGAAATGAAATTTATTCATGGATAACATTTAAGTGCTTATGAGACTGAGCATTGAAAGAACTCCTCACACAAACGAAATGATAATATTGTGAAATAACCATAAAAGGAAATATCCATATGATAAAAAAATAAATAGACAAAATCAATATTTAATAAAATACACATTCTAATCAAAAATACAACCAGGATAAACTTCTGTTAGTTAAGATGCTTCACTTTGCCTTATTGAATATGTAATAGTCCCTGCCACATGCTCTTTTTAGCAATGTCGAATAACGTATCGAGCCACACTGAGTTCCGCAGTCTTCAAAACGCTATTCAGAGAGTCGTGAACATATAGCAGGCGTTCTGGGAGAAGAGTAAGATTTCCAGAACATTCAAACGATTATTGCACGTAAGGCACTACTTGACATTTTATATTATCTCGATTTTTCTTTTTACCATATGTAATATTTATTTTAAAAAGAACAATTTTAATATGCTTATATATTTTTATTTTAAAAAAACAAATAAAACATTACAAAATTCCTTTTTAACGATATTACGTGTATATGAGTTTATTTTCCATTTTTTTCGCCAGCATTGTGTTTTTACGTAAATACGAGTGTATTTCGACATGCACTTGCATTTTCTTCTTTCTTTTCCGGGACGGCTGGAAAAGAACGATGAAGTTTACGAGGAGCCGAAATTTAAATTGTACTTTTTTTTACTATATTGTAGTTCATGGTCCTACATAGTAAGGAAAGACGACCAGACGCTGCTAAACCTAGCAAGCTGTCGGAAGAGTGTTTACCAACGACAAACTCGCTGGGTTTAAACATCTGGCTGGCCACGTCTTAGGGTGATCACTACCCCACTAGAAGGGGAGTGATCTGAAGCGGTAAATAAATCCCCAAAATAAGTAGCTCTGTGAGTTTTCGACATTGGATGCTGACCATATGTTTTAGTGGACTCATCTAGCTGAAGGCGCTCGGTCAGGCATCCGCACCAGATCACCTGTCGTAACGCCGTGCTCAACATCAACCGCAATCGCTAGTCAGATTAGATCAGAGAATTCCGATATTTTGGTTATCGCCAAATACACTCTTCCGATCTCCTCCACTCTGTCTTTCGATTTCTCTCGATGAGTACAAATCATATTAGAAGGTGTTACTGGTAGAAGCGTTGTCAAACACTGAATACCTGTGTCATCTTCAAGCTCAATTGATAATAAAAACTGGTCGTCAATATTAACTAATTAGCTTTGGTGGTTCGTTAACATGCTTTAGTAGCATTTACATGCTTCAGCAACATAGTTCTGTTTAAACATCAAGCTCTAGCAAATATGACCTGTAAGTAGCGTAAATATACATTGACTAACAATGCGATCAAGGGCTAAATAGTTATCTGGATCTAATTCTCAGTGTTCCTTCACTTAACATCTCATCCTGTCTTAAACTATGCACTATCCTGTAATATTTTTTCTTCCGACCACTGCCTGCCTAACTTCACATTTTCGAGTTTCATTGCCAAACAACAAGGATGACACTTCTCCATATCAGCGGCCTGCTTGAATATCTGGGCTACTTGTTTCTGCCATCTGATTATTTCAACAAGTTATCTGTTTTTCATTTGTTTTAACTTATAATTATTTCCATTAATCGCATAACCTATTCAGGCGCTTTTATGAAAAGCCTACGACCTTTCGCTGCACAAGTTACGAAAAAGTACTATAAAGGGCATCATGGTGGTTGGCAATATGCGTTAAAGAGAATGAACATTAATCGTATGTCGATTCCCGAGCTTCTTAATTCTAACTGCCGATCATTAATCAACAAAGTGGACTATCTGCAATTCCTACGTATCGTAATTGTGGTGTCATCACAATTCAAGAATCTTGGTTGAATGATTTACAGGATGACTGCCTTGTATCACTACGTGATTTTAAAATTTATCGTCAGGATCGATCGAACAATAAAAAGAGATGTGGTGGTGGTGTAGCTACGTTTGTAAACATAAACTGGTGTCGATCTTCGTTTGTGTGTTTTAAGTTTTCAAATGACTTTATCGACTGTCTAACTCTAAGGTGTCGTCCAAAACATCTGAATAAATACAAATATGTTTATGTTACCAATATCTACGTGACTCCAGATTGCACATCATTTACACTATCTGTTTTTGCTGATGAATTCACTGAGTTCGCTGTTACTGCCTTCAATGATTCACTTTCAGTTGTATGAGGTGATTTCAATTCATGTGACTGTAGCTTCCTTACGTCACTAGGTCACCAAAATGTAGTGGATTTTCCTACCCGTTTGGATGGTCATCTAGACTTCGTCTTCATTAATGATGTGGGTATATATGCGACTCGTAAACGTGCTCCATTGTCTAGCTCAGATCACTGTATAATTCGTGTTCTACCTAAAGTATATGGAAAGCATGGGAAGAGTACACTCTTACGTCAAACCAGGAAAGTCAAATATAGGAATTACTCAGAAGAAAATATCCGAAATCTGAAAAACATGTTTCATACGACTAACTGAGAATTATTTACAGATGACTCACTCGAAAACACTACTGATGTTATCACTTGTTACCTTAATTTCTGTTTTGATATTTGTTGTCTCACTGAAACAATTTTTGTAAGTTTTGATCAACTTACATCTTCACAAATAAAACGACTACGTTGATTCTGGTGGGAGAGTAGTGTAGTGGCATTGGACCATAACCACATAATCCTCAAAGCTGAACATGAGACAACTCGGAAAATAGATATTCAATATTTGACGCGGAAAAATACCTAACGATGGAGTAGGCGGGAAGAATGAATTGGAGTTTATCGAATGGCATGGCTCGGCCATGCAAGCGTGGTCCCTACTGAATGTTATCTTATATCTTTTAACTATATTAAATATATTGTCCTATCTCTAGCCTAAGCTTGTTCTCCATCATGTATTGATAATTGTTATGATGCAATGAGATGGTGTAGATGATGACTTAACTTCCACGCAGGATCTTATAGATTAGGCAGTTATATCATGACAAATCTACAATTTTAGGATGAGGTCTATTATTAGAGCAATACTAATATCATATTAGACTATAGTTCTACATTGGTGAGCCCAACTATAGAAGCGCAACCTATTATTGCTAATCCTTAGATCCACCTTAACCTTCCCAATCGATTTTCATTTGTGTAAGCCCATTATTCTGATAGTCCAATGATTAATGCTCACATGTATTATCGTAATGTTATATTGATTAGTTCTCATGACAAATTAGCTTGTAGCGGTAAATAAATCCCCAAAATAAATAGCTCTGTGAGTTTTCGACATTGGATGCTGACCATATGTTTTAGTGGACTCATCTAGCTGAAGGCGCTCGGTCAGGCATCCGCACCAGATCACCTGTCGTAACGCCGTGCTCAACATCAACCGCAATCGCTAGTCAGATTAGATCAGAGAATTCCGATATTTTGGTTATCGCCAAATACACTCTTCCGATCTCCTCCACTCTGTCTTTCGATTTCTCTCGGTGAGTACAAATCATATTAGAAGGTGTTACTGGTAGAAGCGTTGTCAAACACTGAATACCTGTGTCATCTTCAAGCTATCCACTGCTACTGATGGTATTTTGTGTTTAAATGATCGTGTTTTTATTTTTCTTTCATTGCGTTAATCTGTCCTTGAAGATCTTCATAGTGGTCATATACGTGTTGAGAAAATGAAGTCCTTGGCAAGGCTCACATGTTGGTGACCAGAGATAAATGCAAATATATGTCGTAAATCAAACAATTGTGAAGAATGTCATCAGCTGAAAAATCAGCCATCAAATTAGGATCCATGTTCAGTATCGTCTGAGGCCTGGGAGAGAATTCATACAGATTATTGTGGTCCGTTTCTTGGCAAATACTATGCACTTGTAGTCATTGATTCTTTTTCAAAGTGGCCCGAAGTTTTTTTTCACAGCTTCACCAAATTCTGATTTCACAATCCAAGCATTAAGAAAGGTGTTTACTGGAGAAGGGGTTCCCATGGTGTTAGTGCCCGATAATGGCTCTCATTTCGCTGCAGATGAAGTCACTACCTGGTTGAATGGTATAGGGTGCAAACATCTGTTTACTGCTCCCAGACATCCTTGTTCTAATGGTCAGGCAGAAAAGTTTGCCAGGACATTGAAGACTGCTATTGATTCTATTGCCGCCTCAACATTTAATGGGCTGGAGAGGGGAGTAGTTACCTCTCTACTGTAATATAAAAATGCCAGACATTCGCTGACGAAAGAGACTCCATCAAAGCTATTAAAAGGAAGAATTCTTCGGCTGAATATGAGATGTTTGGAGTCTGCGTAAGTTACATATTACCGTGGAAATGATCTTCGACCATCCACGGGGATTGTGCTGAAGAATATCGGGAAATCTATGGTACGAATTCTATATATCAATGACTTAAGTACACACAGTCGACATGTTGATCAAGTACAATTCCAGGAACCAGGTGAGTCTTTTCCAATTTTGGTTGTTAATTTTAATGCTAATGAGTACATTCTAGATAATACAGAGTCCTTATCCAATACACTGTCCGACAGACACAGGATGAACTTGAGAAGAAGATGTACAATTGATTACAGACACCTAGACTCCAAATTAAACTGTGGCAGATGTGATGTTTGAATGAACTAATGATCCCTTTGTACTTTATGAATCTGTGGTGGACCAAACGATATATAAAAGCAAAAAGTATCAACAAAGTTAATAAAGATCAATAGAAATGTTAATATATATATAACTTCATTATTACAAATACAATAGAAAGTTGGGACTTTACTTAACTTCACCAATTACAGTCTATAAATGTAGATAGAATTTGATCTAGACTTCAGTTAACTCAATCACAAACGAAGACAGAACGAGGAATAAGTGAGTAGTAGTGTATTTGTTAGCCAGAAACAGTATGTCACGCTATGTGGTTGCACAACGGAAGTGTTCCCAAGGTCATTGACTAAAACAACAGTTACAGTGAAAGGTTGACAAAATAAATACAAATAACGATAAAAACTATTTACAAAATAAGCTTGTCAAATCTATCGCCACAAATCCTTGTTTTCGAATTCCAAATACAGTACATTCGTTCATGCTTAGCTAGTACTTCTTGATCGGATTACGTTATTTCTGTGATTCTTAGTTCTCATTATAATTCAAATACTCCTAATCATTATATACAAGTATTCGGAGTTTAACAATGCATTAACCACCAACAACTTCACAATCAAAGTATGCTAACCCAGTCAAACCAGAAATCAAGAATGAAGGAGTTCGAAGATATATTTGGAAGGCTATCGGTATTTCGAGAAACGTTTGTCCAAGCTGGCTTACAGTTGAAGGGGTGCGTAGCACCTGCTGGTGCGGTGTTACTGAGCGCCTTCATCTGGGTGGGTCACGTAAAACTAGTGAGGTTAGCATCAAATGTTCAAAACCCACAAAACTATTGATTTTGAGAATTTGTTTGCCACTTCAGTATTGTTACACGCCTATACAGTCTACCTTTGCTTTTGGAAAATGGAGTATTCTGATGTTCCCAGTTATTTTGACATTCCTATGTGTGACACTGGACATGTGCTTAATAGCACGACGTACTTTCTGTACCCTTCACACTTAAAAAAATGTTTTAATCAAATTGAGTAGGCTGAGAAGCCTCCCACCTGATAGCATTTCTTAGCCTGTCCGGGTTGATGAAGGCTTGAAATAACACTACATCTCAATTTGTATTTGGCTTTTATTACCACCGCTGCCCAATGAGGTTAACATCAGCATGATAGATGGGACAAAACGAAGAATTGATGTTTATGATGCACTAATGGTCCGTTCATATTGATAATCAGATCGTGCCCTAAGAACGGTACATCCCAACAAAGCTATTGAACCACGCGTTTTCAGAACACCTAGAAACCGTGCAACCGACTTCAAATACGAATTACCCACCGTCCAAAGTAGTGGAAAAGGAAACACGATTGAGTTTGGGTGATTTGCCTCCCCGTTTTATAATATACACACTACAGATTACTCTTAGTAGATGATGAGGCAACTCATCTAGTGCTGTGATGATATCTCACACGAGGTAAAAGCCCCTACCTGGAAAATGCCAATATAAAGTGACACTGAGTTTGTTAACCAACGTGAGCTATATCTGACACTACGCTAGATGGTGTGATACTGCAATCAAGCAGAAAGCACAAACTGTGTGTGTCAGATTGTTTCTTGACCCAAAGTCGTCTACTACAAGTGTTAATAGTCCTTTAAAATACGCGATTGCATTGACGCACCACTACATGTGTCAAAGCTCACTTCGTTTGCCGAAAATAAATATGAGGCTTCGAAGAGAATACTGATTCCTAATGATGTAATTCCAGATGATCGTCCGAAGTGATTTCACATATTAAAGCTTCTCGGAATAATGAATTAGGTATCAAGAACGCCAAACCCGACCGACAGTCACAAACCGCGTAAGACTTCTGACTACCGAGTTCTAACCAATAATCTGACAAGACGTATGCTACTTCAAAGCATTTCTACGAAAGGAAATTTTCTAACAAATTACATTCATACCGACCACAAGAAACCATGAGACAATTCCTCATAACTTAATCACAATTATTGAAGAAACTAGTTTCCGATCTCTTACATTATTATATCAGCATTATTAACCTTAGTAATAGCAAGGTTTCGAGTTAGTCATGATATAGAAGTTATATTCATCATTTTCAGATGAGAAATTTGGATAGAACAGTAGTTTTAATAATCTACCGAAAGTCAAGAGATTGACATTCGTACGTTGACTTTAACGCATTACATCTATTTACTGCTAAACTACCTCATCTTCCGAATAGGCGACCAACCTTATCACAAATAACTACTGAGAAGAAAATACAATAAACGTTTTGATTTAATGACGACTTTTCTAAAAAATATTGGGTGAGGATTCATTTTGAAAAGCATAAACAAGGACACATGGACCGTGACTAAAAAATCGCCCTCCAAAGTACAAATCAAAATATGGATTTGGAGTTTACTACAACACAAGCAAAAGACAGAGCTTCAACACAAAACAGTACCTACACGCTAGGTTATACGTATTATACGACACATTCCATTGATTAATCTCGAAAAACTTCAATTTGTGCTGGATTGGATATAGTCTGGCCAAAAAACAGCCAGCGCCATATAACTGGAAGGTCTGACTCCTGGTGAGGCCGTATATGTGGACTACTGAAGTCTCATACCAGGACAAAACAACTGTTTAGTGGTTCTTAATATTTACCTAACAAAAGTGAGTTCGTGATGTGAAATTTTAAACTCAATATCCTATGACATCAATAAGCTAGTTTCAGGCTTTATGTCGTTATTAAAATCCTATCTACATTTTGTCAGTACATATATTGTGCCCGCGATTTGACTCCATAATGAATGACGAGGGAACGAACGAAAAGTGAACCACCAATAAAAAATCACCGCTTGATTTTGTATATTTTACTAAGGCTAAACTGAACCAATTTCAGACAGCAAAATAAGAGGTGAAAACAAACCTGTCCACTTAAAATACTACTCATTGCAAGAGTTAATATGACTCAAAATAGATAATTTATTGTGACAAGGATATAAGCACTGGATAAAATTATAAGTGTCCAGACACACACAAGCACATTAAGATGTGTAATCGTAGGATTACAAGGTGTTGAACTAAAGGTCATCATCACTTATCAAGAGTTGTTAGGAAGGTAAAAATGGCTCACTCGTCACATGCTGTCTCAGTTAATAAAGTCTGTTAAAAAGTTATGATGAATCTCTACGTGCTACACGTAACCATCTCCTGTACACTAAAACCTATGTCCACTAATCCATTTACTGTAAAGAATTCTCAGCACATATGTAGTATGATAACAGAATCATATCTTACACCCATTTAGCTTGTGAATAAATATATTCAACATTCATTAACTGGCATTTATTTTTGCCTGAAAAAGTTTTCAACTAGTCAGTCAGTTAACTAAAACGTAGGGCCAGGCACATATATGAATCGGTCCAAATTGCTACACCTCATCAGCACAACGTAAACACTAAATTCATAGAAGTGGCTACTTCAATGCTAGTAATATCTAAAAGAAGGACTGCATATAAGGATATGATACAGTGAGAAAGAATTAGCTGGTAGAAATAAAGATATGAAGTAATTTTAATCCCACGGTTTAAAGAAAAACAAGAAGTAAACACCTACATCATTATGGTCGATTCTGAGCCATATCACCCAGTCTTCAACTGTTGGTTACGATAGTTGCGCGGACGCCAACCAAGTAGTCAGTATCTGTCAACATGGCTCAAACTAGAAGTTAGTGATGTCAAGGACTGATGCTTAGTTGTTTATCAACTAGTCCCGCCAAACAATGCATAGTAATACTTTCTTCAACTTAATTAATGTACACCCTGGCACAACTAAGTCGATGAAATTATAACCGACGTATTGATATGATCTTGGACATTCTTTAATAAATTAGAATAAAGCAAGAAAAACAAGATTTGCAAAGTAAAATGAATTCATTCTATTTTAACGGTTCTCGTGAGTTACAGGCAACGTCAAGTTGTGAAGAACAATATGATCAAAAACATAGAGTTGACATGCTTAGTTTATGAAAATGAAATGTTCAGAATACATAAAAACTAATCATAATGAGAGATACAATACGATAATAAACATTGTACTACAAATTGCTAAGAAACCAGTCATAATAAAAATGATTGGAAAGCTTATGCTCCTTCACGAGGACTAACAAGCGTAAGTACACATTAATCAATAAAATTAGGACCAAAGTCAGTTCCATAGGTGAACATTAATGAACAATTACATATAAGACTAAGTGACAAAACCATCTGATTATATTTACAATATAAAGGAGTTGATTGTGTACCCTTTCCGTACAGTCAATTTAGAAACGTTTGATGGCAGTGACCTCTTGAGAGAGAAGTAGAACTGGTGTTCGCTGTTGGTCAGTTATTTTGAACGCCTTTGAGGCATCCACTATCTATTAAGCCTAAATAGAAGCAAATTTGGGACAAATCCAACCCACTAAGTATCTAGCGACTAAGATATACATTCAACCATTTTATAATAAAGTAGCTCGGTAAATTCCTATTTACTAAATTTTAGCTGTTGGTTTTTTCGCATCTGATAATACACGAGTGGTCATTGGATTTGCCAGTCATTATTCGATGTGCTCAGATATTTTTTGTTCCTCGATTATACGTCTCTGAAATTCGCAGACAGAAAATGCTGTGAAAGATACCAGTAGGTCTAGATCCTATTTCCCCAATAGATGTAATCTTCGAGCATGTCCATATGGCTGTAAAACCAATCTTCGCGTAGCTACAGTCAAAGGAGAAACTCAAACAATAATGAAGAATGCAATAAAATAAAATCAATAAGAAAGTCACGTTTACAAACTGGATACCATTTTATGGTTGATAATTAGATAAAGGTGCGTTACACTAAGTATAAGTGATGATTGTTTAAGTAAACGTTGTCGGTCGCTCTGGTTATGAAACATAGATAACAGTATAAATGGGAGAGTTGTTTTCTGTAAGACTAAAATTAAATCAGAAATCATAATAAATTAGAAAACTCGGTTTAATAAAAAATCAGAAATATATAAGTAGGCCAGTTTAATCCACAAATAACAAAATATGTTCACAATTTCAGCTTATACCTCTGTAAGAAAGCACTGTAACTGTGAATTTACCTGTTACTAAGAGTGACTTTGTTATAGGCAGACTTACATGTAGGTGGTTGTTCACAATCTGCTGCTACAACACAATTCAATCCTAGACTACATAAAGCTCCTTTCAAAAGTCCTGAAGGGAACGCCAGATACTAAAAACAAAATAAAAGTATTCATATGTTTACCTTTGGAATTTCTGATATGCCTTCTGGGATACTTTCGAATTTCACTAAAGGCTGAAAATCATTAACAATCAGAACGTAAACATCCTATTTAATTTATAAGTAAGAACGTCACCATACTTGGTAATTGGTTTTAAGCGTATCAACTTGTTTGTGGTATACGGATGACCAAAATTCTGTGCATACATATTTAACAATATCTAATTCATTGATAAACCTGGCATGATCTTTTGTAGCTCTTAATGTGAAAGGTTAGAAAACAAATACACAAACTTTTCGATTAACTTTTCGCTTACGTTTACACCAAGGGATTCAAGAAAACGAATATCCGAATCCTAGAGTTTTCAAATATTAGAGGAATGGAAATTATCAGAAAAAACAATACATCACTTGAAACGGAATTTGAATATTTGATTATTTCAATCATCAGCGCATCGAAGGCATCAAAGGATGGTACATTTGCATTTTTCATTTGTCTTGGGTAGGAGCTATATGATTTTTCGTACTGACAGACTTTGGTAGTATTTCTAAATAAATCAACAAGAAAATTAGGCGAGTAATATGATGACACAGATTAAACGATCTAATTGATCACACTATTATCACTTTATCAAAATCATCCTTACCCAAAATGTCAACCTTTTTTTATGAAGAACGGTGTCAGATTCTATAAGTGTCAAGAGTCAAGGTACTTTAATACCTAATACAATATAAGCTAGTTTACACAAATAAAGGAAACCATTTACATCACACCAGGTTGCTGAGAAAGTTTAACAAATTTAACTCCGACGCTACAACTGAAGAACTCAGAAAACCGACAACACTAAACAAGTTAGCAAAGAAAGATGCAGAGTAGTAGTCAGTAGTAACTAAAGTAGATTCTGGTTACGAGACCAAATCAGTACAATATAAAGTGAATAAGATGAATATCAAAACTCGGAACACTAGTGGTAGAACTGGGAGTTAGACAAACTGAACGTTGAGAAAGAATAAAAAAGTATGTGTGGAGATACACTGGGACTCAAGATCTAGAGAAAAATAGAAAGTGAATCTGCGTCATTACAACTTATTCTGAATCATGACAACTAGCAAGTTCTTAAGGATTTGAAAGGCGAAAAGCGGGACAAGCTATATGTAATTCTGGTTCGGTAACCAAACATACCTAAACCATGAGGTCGACAGAAATAACATTTCCGAACACCCAGTCCTGAACTCAAGACAGTTGACTTGTATGTTTAAGCTAAGGAAATGATTTTTGAAGGCATCTGGAAATAAGTACATATGTACATCTTCGTAATATATACATATGTGAGTATACTCACATCCCTCGGGGGAAAATCAAAGATATATTGGTGCACTAAATACTTACCACTTAAGTGACACTTCAAAACTTTGTTTAAATAATGCTTTCCAATAAGTCTTGAGCAAGCTTTGAGTATTCGTATTGTTCTGTTATAAAGCAAACCAGTAAAAACTGATTTCCAACTACACAATAGGGAAATAAAGGCGGACTTTGAGGAAATAGGGGCAACACCAGCTTAGGGAATTCGGTCCTAATCCAGGTAGAAATATAATAATTTACATCTCAACACCATAGTAGTTGCCAAAATGTTCGCATTCTATCTAAATGTTTACCGAATTATCTAAATTCCGCCCAAATTTACGCCAAACTGTCTAACATCCAATCTGTAGGTTGAATTTTTCAACTGCTTATTCATAAACAACGCGTCGGTAAATTAGCGTTTCACTGACTCACAGACGTTGTGTGACCTGTCTATACCTTCGGAAAAATAGTGTCATAACACTTGTAAATACTAAAATACTGTTGATTTGTAAACAAGCGCGGGGAGAAATGCAAGAGGAAACACAGTTATTTGGGATACGGATAGCAAACAACATGACCTACACAAGTAGCACCAATGTCAATAACCAATATTTTTGGGTGAGCTCGTATAAACAAAATGATTTCTCCGCGCCTGTAACTTGACAGTAGAGTACAGCTTCGGGTCTGTAGTTACCTTTTAAAAGAATGGTTTGCTTAATAGACTGAGATAGTCTAAGAGTGATTAAGAATAGGTAAGAGGACCGACGATAGCGTTGAACCCCGACTATAGAGATACCTTAAGGTAATCCTATAGTCAGTGAAGCAATGTGATCTGTTAAGTAGCGCTTGTAGTCACAACAATACCGAATTTCGAGTAATACCTCATATATTTTTTGAATATATAATAAAAATGAAGTCGACACTAGTTGGACCAGAAACCCGTCGACATAATGGTTCAAATGGTTCATATGGTTGTGAACGGAATAGAAGAAGCTTTCGCTTAACGAGCTTCCGTGTCTAGAAGCAATTGATCACCAAAATATTTCCAGGCAGGAACCTAGGTATATTAACGATAACAGAGGAAAAAAAGAAATTGGTTAATCACAGTAAGATATTGTCCGTAGTTCTTAAGAACCCTCAGGTCACCTCTAAGACGCCTGTACATTAGTGGGTAAAGATTCAGCCATTGAAGGCGCTTGAATTTAAGTCCCCAAAATGATTTTGTGGCTCGCTGCTGGATACGCTCCAGAGGGTTGTTATCCTTTTGGAGTGAGGGAGGAAATACTATGTTTCCGTATTCTAAATGGAGACGAATAAGACTGTTGAAGATTATGCAGAAATTGCCTCCTTCTAACTGGCCCAAAATGAGCTTCGGCGTTAGTAGTGCAAGGTTTTTTCGAAAAACATTTTTGTCACAGTTAGCGTAAGAACATAGTACACCAACATTCCCCGATATTTTTCGTCTTGGAATACTTCCAGAGAGATTCCTAAGTTGTAACTGTAGTCTGCGACATGTCTCAGATGGACTACTTTACACGCTGAAGTATTAAAAGTAAGTCCGTCGTCATCTGCCCAACTTCTCCTGAAGTGCCAGTTTATCCTCTTGGTTGAGTACCTCTCTCGAAAGTTTCACACCATCAGCAAAAAGAAATAAGTCAGACGATACCTGTTACGGAAGATCACTTACATAAATCAAGAAAAGAAGAGTTCTTAGTGCTGAACCCTGGAAGACCCCACCATGACTTTCGATAGCCTGAGAGAAAAGGAAGTTAAACCTGACCTTAAGATGTCGATCTTCTAGATATAAAGTGAGCCAATCAATTAAAGATGATTGAATACCTAGTCCTTTAAGTATATTGATAAGACATATATGGATAACCCCATCAAAGGCTCTTTAGAAGTCGAGGTGAATGAAGTCAAACTTCCTCTTGAGACAAGGGATGGTTGTCCATTTGTCCACCTTGGTCGGCGGGGTGGTTATACAAAAACAACACAACCTGAAACCATGTTGTTGAGGTAAAAAGAAGTTTAAGGACAATGAATAGTCGTGTATACGGTCATATATCAGGGACCCCATTACTTTAGAAGGTATGAAGAGAAGAGCCACTGGTCAGCAACTTGAAGTTTCACTGCATCAACCTCCTTTGAAAATTGGTGTGATGTGAGCCAGCTTCCAAATTTCCGATAACGTGCCTCGGCTTAGCGAGTGTGATAACACCACGCGTTACCAGGATTGAAGCTGCTTTGCTCAGTATAGTAGAATGAACCATATCCGGACCAAGAGAATTGTCTTTTCTAGGTGCTGCAATGTTCGGTACATAAAATCAGTGCTCAGATTCAACTCGGAAAGTCCCGTGCAGTCACAGATGAAGCTTTCATCAATATGGTTAATGTGGGTCGGTTGAAATGTTCGAAAGTACTGATCTGCCAGAAGGTCAGTGGCGTTACCATCGTTGTTGGTCGGGAAGTTAGGACCTAGCAGTTAGGAAACTTCAGTTTGGGCTTGTCGAAGAGAGGCTGCACGACGGAATAAGCTTCTGGAATTGGAGACAAACTTATCGATAAGCTGTATCTGGTACTGAAGCCTGTCTTCTCTAACTACATTTGTGCATGTGTTCCTTACTAGTTTAAGTTGCATGTACGCTCCCTTGTTACCAGTTCGTTTGCGTTCCGCACAACAGTGTCTTTTGCGGCTTTGCAAGTGAAGAGTGCGGTTCTTGATGACTGTAGGTTGCTTGTAGATTTTGGGAACCATTTGAAGAACAGACTGCTATGTAGCATATAAGATCACATGCAGTAAGAAACCCTAATGAGCATCCACATCAAGTTGATGGTGAGTTTCCCAATCCACTTGTTGTAGATTGTCCTGTAAAACTGACACATTTAACCGTTTAAAATTCCAGCGCCTGTTGTTAGTGAGATGTATTAGCTCAGTTTGGCTGATAAAACTGAAGGCTATGACGATGTGATCGTTTCTCCCCAGGGGAGCTATCATTGAAAGGTTGTCAATTTGGAGTTCATCGTTTGTAAGTGCACAGTCCAATTGCGACGGCTTCTGACTTTCTTCAACGAGTTGTCGACCTCACATTTTCGAAAAATCCCAGATCGTCAATGAGGTCGAAGAACCGAGATTCTATAGAATTTTCATATCCAATATACGTATGTTCCGTGAAATTGACTATAGGAATTTTGAAGTCCCCTAGAAGCACTCAGTTGTTTGTGTATCTGGCTGAGTAGGTGTATGAATACAGTTCTGTTTTTGTAAAATCTCGCGTCACCTGTAGCTGGAAATGTTCATGGCTGTGTTCGGTCATCATTGTCTTCGAACGATAGTTTACATCTGACGGTGATGTTTTATGATAGCCTTCTCAATGGCATCTTTGTGGTTAATTATTTGCGGATTCTTGAAGTAAGTGAGAAAAATAAAGAAGTGGTCAGCTTATGAAATTGCGCCATGACGAAGGGAATAGATGTATAAGGCTGCTATATGTTCACGACTCTCTGAATAGCGTTTTGAAGACTGCGGAACTCAGTGTGGCTCGATACGTTATTCGACATTGCTAAAAAGAGCATGTGGCAGGGACTATTACATATTCAATAAAGCAAAGTGAAGCATCTTAACTAACAGAAGTTTATCCTGGTTGTATTTTTGATTAGAATGTGTATTTTATTAAATATTGATTTTGTCTATTTATTTTTTTATCATATGGATATTTCCTTTTATGGTTATTTCACAATATTATCATTTCGTTTGTGTGAGGAGTTCTTTCAATGCTCAGTCTCATAAGCACTTAAATGTTATCCATGAATAAATTTCATTTCAAGTTGACTATAGCTGTTATGTGGTGCGTGCTACTTATATTGATATAAGTAGTATATAACGTGAGTCAAAAGAACGTAATGGCTGGCAGCAGAAGATGGAGAAGATCAAGAAAAGAAGAGCGAGAAAACAATGGAATTTGTAAGAAATCGCATGAGTAATGAAATGCGAGACAATGGATTGATGTTTGCAACAGCAACAGCCCGGTTTGATATGATAGAATGATATTTTGCAAATTAACGATTTACTATATGGTTTTTCTAATTTACCAAGTAATTCTGTAATTTGTCCTAAATACAATTTGGCTGTCCTCACCCGTGTTCTTCTTCACTACATTTGGTGTCGCTGCCTCCACTGAGGATGAAGATCCCATGGCCGAAGGAGTTTGAGGACGGAGATGTGCTGAGCTTCCTGAAGGAGTTTGAGGCCGTGGCGGAGCTGGTGGGAGTGACGGAGCCGAAGGCGAAGTTGGTGGTGCTGGGGACGCTGCTGAGAGGCAGAGCGAAGGCGGTGTATGACAGCCTGGACGGTGCTGGCGGAAAGACCACATGGGAGGCAGTTACGGAGCGGTTGGCGGCGGAGTTCGACAGCCCAGTGGACAGAGAGGACGCGCTGCAGAAGTTCCGGTTGGCGAGGTTGCCGGTCGATGGGGACCCACTGGTGCTGGCTGTGGAGCTTACCAGATTGTTACGCCGTGCGCTGCCGAGTCTGGATGAGGAGTCGGAGGCACAGTTGTTGGCGTCACAGTTTATCGAGAGTGTGCCTGCCACCGTCTCCCAACAGCTGAAACTGGTGAACGCAGCGCAACCGATGGATATCAGTGAACTGGCGAAGGTGACTCGTCAGCTGATGACGCGAGCAGTAGCTCCGGTCGGGTGCGGAAAGCAGGAGATGAGTAATGTCGAGAAGAAGATTGAGGAGCTGGAGCGCGAGATTGCAGCAATACGAGTGAACAATAAAAGGAACGATAAATGTTACGCTTGTGGAGGGACAGGACATTGGAAGATAAACTGTCCAACAAGACGAAGACGCAGATATGTTAGACGTTACAACGAGTGTTCTTTCTATCCTAGGAATCTTGGGATTGTTGCGTTAGTAGACAGAGGGGCAGTATATACGAGAGTGAACATAAATGAGCGAGATTTAGTTTGTCTGATCGATACAGGTGCAGCAGTATCGTTAATAGGCAAAGAGCAATGTAAGAGAATCAAGCCGTGTACATTAGCTGTCCACACGATAGGGGGCCATATGTTAGAGGTGTTTGGCGTATCTAACAGTATCGTAAAAGTGGGGGATGCGGAGATAAATTTTCCGTTCGTCGTAACCACAAGCTTATCGAGACCGATATTAGGAGCAGATTTCCTAAGAGAAGTAAAAGCGATAGTTGACTTAAGAAGCGGTAAGGTGGTCACGAAATATGGTTCATTGACAATACACGAAAGTAGCGAGGTGGCTGAAATAAGAATTGCAGCGGATGTCTCGTCAAAGAAACCAAACATTCACGAATTATGCAAAAAGTATTCCAAACTATTCACTGGAGATGGTGAGCCGTATGGATTTTGTGACAGAGTAAAGCACGAAATACCGATAAAGAACAGTCGAGTAAATATATTTGCAACACGTCGTGTCCCGGTGCATTTAGAGGCCGAGGTAAATCGTCAGGTCCAGGAAATGTTAAAAGAAGGTATAATTGAGGAAGCGGACAGCCCATATAGCTCGCCGGTACTCTTGGTAAAGAAACCAAATGGAAAGTATAGATTTTGTGTCGACTTCAGAGAATTGAATAATATAACAGACCTGAAGCCTTGTGCAATGCCAACAGTGGTGGAAACATTAGATCGGCTACAGAATGCCACGGCGTTTACAGTGCTGGATTTACGGTCAGGTTATTGGCAACTGCCTATAAAAGAGAGTGATCGGAGCAAGACAGCGTTTACTGTACGGGATAAACAGTATCAATTTAAACGAATCCCGTTCGGGTTGGCGGGTGCACCTTTCACGTTCAGAAGATTAATGACACTACTGCTCAAGAATCTAGATAATGTCGAGGTATATGGCGACGACGTAGTTGTGTACAGTCAAACAGAAACAGATCACATCAAACATGTGGAAGCGGTCTTAAAGCGAATTGACGAATTTGGACTTCGGATTAATAAGAACAAGTCGCAGATAGCGAAAAGTAGCGTCACATTGTTGGGACATAAAGTGGGAAATGGAGAAATAAAACCATTGCCGGAGAAAATTCTTACCATAAAAAATATTGCAGTACCTAATTCGAAAAGGAAGTTGAGACAGTTCCTGGGAAGAGCGGCGTTCTACAGTCGGTTTGTCAAAAATTTCAACGAAATAGCAGCACCCTTATATAAGTTATTGAGCAGCACCAAGTTTACGTGGACTGAGACTGCCGAACAAACGTTCAACCGAATCAAAAACATGCTAGACGATCGCCAGATGACGCTTAGACTGCCTGAACCGGGAAGACTGTTTACAGTGGCCACAGACGCGAGTGATCATGGTATAGGTGCTGTGTTGAGTCAGGCTGATAGAGTGGTGGAATACGCGAGTCGCGTCCTCACACCTGCGGAACAGAAGTATTCAACCATCGAAAAGGAGTGTTTAGCGATCGTGTGGGCAGTGGAAAAATGGAGACCATACCTTTTAGGTAGACGATTTCACATTGAGACCGACCATAAACCCCTGCAGTGGTTGAAAACAGCAAGAGACCCCCGAGGGAAGTTGGCGCGATGGATGATACGCCTGCAAGAATACGATTTCAGTATCGGCCATGTTCCAGGAAAAGAAAACGTAATGGCAGATTACTTGTCAAGACCAGACATGGAAGCCGACCTGCCATTAACAGCATACGCGGTGAATAGTTTAGAGGGAGACCCATTAGAACTCGTCCGGCAGCAGAAAGCTGACCCTAACCTTCGAGAGGTAATCAGAGTGATAAAAGTGGGAGCAGACGTAGATAAACGAACAATGGACAAGGAGGTAATAACGCTGCTTCGGCAAAAGGACCGACTGAGAGTGAACTCATATGGAGTGCTGACCTGGCAGGACGATGATGAAAATTGGGTGGCGGTGATCCCGAAAGACTGGCGGCGTAAAGTTATACACGAGTGTCACCAGGTAGCACATACAGGCATCGCAAGAACGACGGACTTACTACGACAAAGTGCATACTGGCCGAGCATGAGAGAAGATGTGGCTGAATACGTGTTAACCTGCCAGCAGTGTCAGCTAATGAAAAGCGATCGATACACACAACCGCCATTACAGTCAATCCCAGTAACCGCAGTCGGTGATCTATGGTCGGTGGATGTGATGGGACCGTTTCCACAGACGGCGAGCGGTAACCAGTACCTGTTAGTGATGACGGAACATGCTACACGTTGGGTAGATGCCGTACCCATTGCAGACCAGCGGGCAAGGACAGTGACCGAGGTGGTAATCCGGCATATTGTAGCGTGTCACGGAATACCGAAGATGATATTAACTGACCAGGGTCCCTGTTTTGAAAGTGACGAGTTTAAAGCCCGTTTAAAGCAGTTTGGCATCAAGAGAATACGAACTACACCGTATCATCCTCAGACAAACGGGCTTACAGAGAGAAACAATCGGACGTTAAAGGAATGGTTAGCATCAAAAGGAGGAAATTGGGAGAAAGAGTTACCATTGATTTTGCTGGCACATCGTTCCTCCACACAAGGAACAACCAAGAAGTCACCTTTCTTGCTCATGTATGGCAGACAACCACGACTTCCAATGCATAATAAGACCTGGCCACAACAACAGAAGTGGACGACAACAAGGTTAAGAAAAGAGAGGAGAGAGGCAATAAGGAACGTGGAAAAGAAACAAATATCAGACACAAAGAAGGCAGAACAACAGAGGAGAACGTGGAAACCCTTTGCAGTGGGGGACCTAGTAAAGTGTAGAGAACGAAAAAGTAACATAGCAGGGGGAGCAGGATCGGGGAAGCTGGCCCCAAAATGGGAAGGACCGTATGTTATCACGGAGAGACGCGGCTCGGTCTACACGATCCAGAGAGAAGACAAGCAGAAGCGCGTAAATGCTAGTCAACTACAGAGATGGTTTCAAGATCATCATGGGTGTGAATCACGAAAAGCACCAAAGAACACAGCGGTACGGAGATCAGAAAGACTACGACAGCAACTTGTTAAAAGGGGGGACGAGTGTGGTGCGTGCTACTTATATTGATATAAGTAGTATATAACGTGAGTCAAAAGAACGTAATGGCTGGCAGCAGAAGATGGAGAAGATCAAGAAAAGAAGAGCGAGAAAACAATGGAATTTGTAAGAAATCGCATGAGTAATGAAATGCGAGACAATGGATTGATGTTTGCAACAGCAACAGCCCGGTTTGATATGATAGAATGATATTTTGCAAATTAACGATTTACTATATGGTTTTTCTAATTTACCAAGTAATTCTGTAATTTGTCCTAAATACAATTTGGCTGTCCTCACCCGTGTTCTTCTTCACTACAGTTATATTGCTACTCTCTGTTTTCACTTTCCAACCATTTCAGCCAGAACAAGCTAGTTTAAAAGCAAAGCAACTTTTTCAAATTACTAAAGGACGCCGAATTATTGTGGACTCTTCTTTGCCTTCCGGAGATGGTACTTCATTATCAACGTCTAAATGGCAAGGTGGAAGTGAGTCAGCTGTATTCAATCAATTGGAATCAATTGCTCGTAGTCCAGAGCCTCGTACACCATTTTTAAATGCACAACTAACTCGTGCATTGAATCCGAAACTTGTTAAGGATGATGTAAGTATTTGGAGATTTTTTTTAGTTTTCGTTAAATATCTTGTTTATCATATATTTTATCATAAAATATTCTTATAGTAATAATAGTATGAAACTTTTTGTCGATTCCCGATAGTGAGCGTCTCTTCTCATATTTCAGTGTTCCATAAGCGACGTAATAATGACGAAATTGACCTTTAGAAACATGATCTTTATCCTTTTTGTTAAATCAAGATAAAACTTGCCGCACAGACTTCGCTAATATATCATTACAATAAGTAATGTATATATGTGTATCATGATCTTACTGCACAGTAATAATTGAATTTAGTTAGAAAAAACACAATAATGAAATATGATTATGATTAATTCACATGAGTTGCAAAGGTTAGCTTACATGATAAATGACATCAAACAATCATTGGCTACAATTAGCGCGCATTGAAATCAGTTAACAAGTTCAGGTTTGTGTGAGTCTAACCTTTATACGGAAGCCTCATCATACTACCTAGATACCCAATCTGAAGTAGTAGATAGTAGATGCGTTGTTTGAATCTGCCATTTCTAAGAAGAGACCCGAGTGATCTGATCACCACAAACTTTTTTCTCTTCAGAAATTACGAATTACCATATTCATATCATTATTTAATACGAATTATCTTTTCGAATTTTAATTGTATACTTCCTTTTGTTTGTGTTTTAGTTTTTACCAAGTCGTGTAAATTGGGTTGTACAAAGTTCTGCTGTTGATTATTTACATTGTATGCTTGTTTTAATGCGTTGGCTTATAAATAAATTTAAAATTCCTGCACGTTTATGTATAAGTATTCATGATGAATTGCGATATATTTGTCCAAAATCACATATGTATCAAGTTGCATTAGCTTTGCAAGTCAGTTTAGCTATTATTATTACTATTATTACTATTATTACTATTATTATTATTATTATTATTATTATTATTATCGGTGTTTAGTTCTCTCAAATCAATACTTACTTACTTACTTACTTTCGCCTGTTGCTCCCAATGGAGCATAGGCCGCTGACCAGCATTCTCCAACCCACTTTGTCCTGAGCCTTCTTTTCTAGTTCCATCCAATTCTTGTTCATTCTTCTCATGTCTATCTCCATTTCCCGGCGTAATGTGTTCTTTGGTCTTCCTCTTTTCCTTTGACCTTCAGGATTCCAAGTGAGGGCTTGTCTTGTTACGCAGTTGGGTGCTTTCCCCAATGTGTGTCCTATCCACTTCCAGCGCTTCTTCTTGATTTCTTCCTCCACTGGGATCTGGTTTGTTCTCTCCCACAGTACGTTGTTGCTAATAGTGTCCGGCCAATGGATCTGAAGTATTTTGAGTAGGCAATTGTTAGTAAACACCTGTATTTTCTGGATGATGGCTTTCGTAGTTCTCCAGGTTTCTGCCCCATACAGTAGAACTGTCTTGACATTTGTATTGAAAATCCTGACCTTGGTGTTGGTTGACAGTTGTTTTGAGTTCCAGATGTTCCTCAGTTGTAAATATGCTGCTCTTGCTTTGCCGATCCGCGCCTTCACATCTGCATCAGATCCACCCTGTTCATCAATGATGCTGCCCAAATACGTAAAGGTTTTTACATCTTCCAAATCTTCTCCGTCGATTGTGATTGGATTGGTGCATTCTGTGTTGTATCGGAGAATCCTGCTTTTCCCTTTGTGTATATTGAAACCTATTGCTGCTGAGGCTGCTGCCACACTGTTTGTCTTCTCCTGCATCTGTTGTTGCGTTTGGGATAGAAGGGCCAGATCGTCTGCGAAGTCTAGATCATCCAACTGCATCTTAGATGTCCATTGTATCCCGCGCTTCCCTTCAGACGTTGACGTCTTCATGATCCAGTCGATCACCAGGAGAAAGAGAAAGGGTGAGAGTAGGCAACCTTGCCCAACACCGGTCTTTACTTCGAATGACTTTGTCAACTATCCTCCATGCACGATTTCGCAGTGTAATCCATCATATGAGTTCTGTATGATATTGACTATCTTCTGAGGCATGCCGTAGTGTCGAAGAAGTTTCCATAGTGTTGTTCTGTCCACGCTGTCAAATGCCTTTTCATAGTCAATGAAGTTGATGTAGAGTGATGAATTCCATTCAATTGATTGTTCCACAATGATCCGTAGAGTTGCGATTTGGTCTGTACACGATCTATCCTTACGAAACCCTGCCTGTTGGTCACGAAGTTGGGCGTCTACGCAGCCCTTCATCCTGTTTAACAATACCTGTTAAAGACTTTTCCTGGTATTGAGAGAAGAGTGATTCCCCTGTAGTTATCACACTTGCTGAGATCGCCTTTCTTCGGTATTTTGATCAGAAGTCCTTCTTTCCAGTCTGTTGGTACTTGTTCCCCATCCCAAATCTTATTGAAGAGAATGTGGAGTATCCTTGCAGTTGCCGCTACGTCTGCCTTTAATGCCTCTGCTGGGATGTTGTCCGGTCCTGCTGCTTTGTTACTCTTGATTTGTCTGATGGCCATGCTGATTTCTTCAATTGTTGGTGGGCCAACATTGGTTGAGAGGTCCGTGGATGCTGCTTCGATGTTGGGTGGGTTCAGCGGGGCGAGTTTAGGAAGATCGATTCCTTGGAAACTGTTCAAGAATGTTTATGGTCTGTGAAAAGGGCGAATTCACGGTCTTCGATATAATGTTGAAAATGCCGTGCAGCACAATACATAGCTAGGAGTTTCCTACCGAATGTGCCGTACCTCGATTCGGTGTCTAGCAACCGTCTAGAGAAAAATGCCAAAGGTTGCCAGGAGTTGTTAACCCATTGTTGTAAGACTCCTCCGATTGCTGAGTCGGATGCGTCTACTGCGATGCTAATGGGTGCTTGAGTGTCCTGATGTGCACGCATTGTTGCTTTAGCGATAGATAAGTTCCTTAATTGTGGAGGATGCTTTTCGTGCGGTCTCGTCCAAATTAATGGATTTCGCATTTCCACAAAGTTGGTCGGTAAGAGGTTTCATGAGTAACGCGCATTTCGGTATGAATCGTCTATAGAAACTTACAAAGCCGTTAAACGTTCGTAGTTGATTGATCGTGGTCGGTTTTGGGTAATCCAGAATTGCCGCCCCTTTGGTCCTAAGGGGTCGAATGCCTTGAGCATCTATAGTGTGTCCTAGGAAGTCTAATGAGTCAGCTCCGATTTGGCATTTCTGAACGTTTACAGTAATGCCATGTTTTTGTAGTCGGTCGAAAACAAGATCCAGATGCTTGAGATGTGATTCTCTGTCCGGACTTGCTATTAAGCAGTCATCAACATACGCATGTGCGAAGTTGAGACCTCGAAAAACGTCGTCTATGAATCTTTGGAATGTTTGAGCAGTGTTTCTTAGACCGAAAGGTATTCGCAAAAATTCATAGAGTCCGAGGGAAGTAATGATGGCGGTTTTCGGTATGTCGTCAGTAGCCAAAGGGATTTCGTTATACGCTTTAACCAAGTCGATTTTCGAAAATACAGTTGTACCTTTCAAGGTAGCTGTCAAATCGTGAATGTGAGGCAACGGGTAACGATCGGGAATGGTTTTCGCATTCAATCGCCGATAGTCACCAGTTGGACGCCAATCGTTGCTGTCCTTTTTAGGGACCATGTGCAACGGAGATGCATATGGGCTATTTGACGGTCGTACGATTCCTAAGTCTATCATGTGATCGAACTAGTTTTTCGCCAACCTTAGCTTTTCAGGGGCTAGTCGTCGTGCTTTAGAGAATACAGGTGGTCCTGTAGTCGTGATGTGATGTGTAACGTTGCTGGTTACACACGGTAGTTTCAGGTGCGTTTGATGAATCCCAGGTTACTTATCGAGTAGTGGTTGATAAAGTGGGTCTATCGTATGCTTAATTGTGACTGGGGATAATCTGCAACCAGAGAAGGAAGTTACGCAAACGGATAAATTAGTGTTTCAGTCTACTAGCCTCCGTTTACGCGTATCGATGACTAGATTATGGTGTTGTAGAAGGTCCATACCAATGATTGGCATAGAAACATCTGCAACAACAAAGATCCAGTGAATGAAATTGTGTAAACCCACGTTAAGGTAAACGTACCTTTTATCATATGTAAAGATAGGCATTCCGTTTGCCGCCTGTAAGTTTAAAGCCGATTCGTGAAGTCGGTCGTTGGGATTCGCTGGGAGAACGCTAACTTCTGCGCCAGTGTCGACGAGGTAGCGAACTCTCGTTGTCACATCTGTGACGTATAACAGACGGCTATGTTCGCCGGCTAGGGTTGTCGTTAACGCGTGCCGGCTGGGAAGTTTCCTGAGTTGTTTTTCGAGTCAATCGGTTTTGAGTTTGGAAAATTGCAGGGTTTTCTGCAATTTCTGGAAGACTTTCCATATTGGTTGTGATACCAGCACCAGTCGGGATTATCCGTCTCTCGTGGTCTAGAGACAGATCGCTTACGTGAAGTGCTTCTTCGCGGTGTATGTGACCGTTTACGGTCGCTAAGAAATCTAAGATAGCGTGTAAGTGTCTGACATATTTACGTAATGTCATCCTGGTTCGTTTGAGACGTTTCTTTGACTGAAAAAACCTCGGCATTAGAGGATTTCGTGATTTCTAAAATGCGGTCGGCAGATGCAGTCAGCTCATCTACGGCGTTGTTCTGAAACGAGACCAGGACCGCTTGCACCTGTTGAGGAAGTTTAGACAAGAAAAGTTGTTTGAATAGGCCTTCATCGAAAGTTCTTTGGCCGCTAACCTCTCTCATTCTTTGCAACATGTCTGTCGCAGAACCGTGTTGCAAGTCGATACTATTAGGCGTTGGTCTAACCTTTGTCGATAAGTTAGATCTCCTTGTCTAAGGATAGACCGTTTAAGTGTTTCGTAGGGTTCAGAAACATCACCAGTAAACATACTAGGCGTTACATACCTGTTAAACTCGCGCGGTAGTGCCCTTAATTCTGCGAGGAATTGTGAACATGTGCCGTTCACGCCGTGCTTGTGGAAGTCGTCCTCTGCATAACAGAACCAGGCCTCGATGTTGTCTAGCCAGAAGGGCATTAGTTGAAACGAAGGTGGGGAGATAGTCCTTGACCTAAGTATCTTGAGCATCTGTTCCGTCATGGTGAAATATTAGGTACGAGAATGAACGAGTGAAAAAAATATATATCTCCTGAAACACGTGGGGAAAAATATCACAATGTATAAAAAATAAGGCAATAATATATAAAAAATTCCCAAAAAGGAACAGACTCACAGTTGCGATTCATTGTACCAGATTACGTCGGTCTCACCAATAAAAATGACACTGGTATTCAGTGTTTGACAACGCTTTTACCAGCAACATCTTCTAATATAATTTGTACCCACCGAGAGAAATCGAAAGACAGAGTGGAGGAGATCGGAAGAGTGTATTTGGCAATAGCCAAAATATCGGAATTCTCTGATCTAATCTGACTAGCGATTGCGGTTGATGTTGAGCACGGCGTTACGACAGGTGATCTGGTGCGGATGCCTGACCGAGCGCCTTCAGCTAGATGAGTCCACTAAAACATATGGTCAGCATCCAATGTCGAAAACTCACAGAGCTATTTATTTTGGGGATTTATTTACCGCTGCAAGCTCATCACACTTTGAAAAATAGATCAAAATATACGTTTCAGATAAGCATTCCAGCCTTTCCGTATAGCACTGGGTATACATCCAAAGTATCTATGATTTTATCTATTGAGGTCTGGACGTCTCACTGGTAAAGATTGCACTAACAAACAGTATGAAGTATTTACAGGTCTATCTTGTAATGATTGTCCGGAAATGTGGTCAACGTGTTGAATTTGTTTGGCACTTTTGTGCTGAACCGTATAGGCATATACACTCAAAGCAATACTCCATCGTTGAACCATAACAGCTGAGGAACGTGCTAATAATTTTTCAGGATGATAAATAAACTTTAAAGCTTCATGACCAGTAACAATAGTGAATTTCTTTCCGAATAAATATTTATGA